CGAGTGTAAAAGACAGATGCCCTTAGAAAACATAAAACATTTGTAATGTCCTTAATAGAACACCCTAGGCCTGAGTGTGAAGGACAGACACCATTAGAGAACATAAAACATTTGTAAATGTCCTTAATAAAACACCTAGGCTCGAGTGTAAAGGACAGGCTCCATTAGAATTCAGTTAGTCATAGATACTACTTCCCCTAGGCACGAGAAGTAAAGGGAAATCTTAAAGATTGGAGACACGTCCTTTGTAACACGTCCCGTGGCACGAGTATGGATGACTACCCCTATAACCAGAATCTTCGAGCGTAGGAGAGCGTGACTTGAGTGTATAGATCTATACGGGACTGACAATCCCGCACCTAGCTGCTAGCTACAGTCGAACCAAAAGGTTCAAGGGTGACGAAAGTCATAAAAAGGATACTGGCCACGACCCGAGTCATATCTAGTCTAAAGTATGGTTAAGGACTCGCAATCAAGATTATTAACGCTTTACACTTATTTATTAGTTTTATGTACGTAGTAAAACTAATGTACGTTTGAGGATAATCAGAATCGGTAACAGTTCACACACACACATTCAGGAAAACATGGGGTTTTCCTGGGGATAACATTGAACATAATCAGAATCGTAACAGTTCAAACACACACATTCAGGAAAACATGGGGTTTTCCTGGGGATAACATTGAACATAATCGGAATTGGTAACAGTTCACACACACACATATTTAGGAAAATATAGAATTTTCCTAAGTAACAATAGTACGTAACCAGAAAAGTATAACAGGTTAGATAACTAAACTTTACAATTCACAAGAACAATCATGTTTTCAGTATACATCTTTTACATTACAATTTGGATTCGGTATCTAACACTTAAGAAAATTTGGGATTTTCTTGGTTAACCACTTTTTCAGGAAACTAAAGGAACTCGTTCTTTTCATAAAACAAACCGCTTATGAACTCACCAGCTTTATGTTGATTTTTAAACCGCGTGTATTCTCAGGTCCGCTTTAGACAGGTACCCGATGATCTCTTTTGGTGAAGACGGAGTGCGCAGAAGACTCGTCTTTCTTTTGTTTAAACTATGTATCTATGAAACTTGTATTACTTTACTTTTCAATTGATGTATTGAAATCTATGTAATGTAATGTTTTGTGTTTTACTTTGCTTACTATGTACATTGGTTATGATATTCCCATGAAGTCACCTCCACCCCGAGACGTTTCCGCCTTCGGTTTCGGGGTGTGACACTCACTCCTTCCCTAACTTGGGCCTCGCCCCTGTTCTGCTACTAATGAGATATGGAACCCCATCCACACTCTGTTATTGGTGAGATACGGGACCTCGCCCACACTCACCTCCCTACCAGGCACATACATGTATCACACAGACAACAACTATAAACTATCATATAAACAAATCCTTGGGCACCCGCCCGCTATTAATGGACCTCGTCCTGAATATCATACTAGCATATTGTACCTAGGGCTAACCCCCGGGTCTTCTACTCATAACTACATGGGCCGACATTGTGGCCTTAGACCCATTCACATAAAGGGAAACTCACCTGCACTGGTTGAACTTGCTGATGATCTCACTAGTTGCTGCCCGGCAACTCACTGAACTCCTGCTCCCCTTGCTCCCCGAACTACCAATATTAATGCAACACTGAGTCTAACTGACCCCCGAAAGACAACCAAGTCAACCCTGGTCAAAGTCAAAGTCCCGGTCAAGGTCAACCTCCCAGGTCAACCCTACTCACCGAGTCAACCTACTGACTCGCCGAGTTCATATATTCAGAGTCCTTCCTTTCGCGTCTCGACTCGCCGAGTCGGTCCATGACTTGCCGAGTCTACCGATTTCTAAGTCCTGACCTGTCCAACTCACCGAGTCTCTATCCGACTCACTGATTCGAGTCTCAACTCGAAGGGTTTGGTGTTTCACAACCTGACTCGCCGAGTATAAGGCAATCTTCATCTGACTCGACGAGCTGTTCATCCCACTCGTCGAGTTGCTCCTAATCTTCATGCTGCTCGTCGAGTCCATTTCAAAGGACTCGCCGAGTACATTCAGATCTCCTTACATGCAGAGGACTTTTGAGTCATGCATGGACTCCAAACTGTAAATCTACCCTTCCCAAGCCTATTCCTCATGTAAATTTGCAAACTTTACGTGTAGAGAAGGAGATCTAGGCAAAATACACCATAAACTAGGGTTTAAGGCAAAGAGGATCTATAACCAACTCAAGGGATGATACTTTATGTTTCTCAAGACCATAATATGCTTAGATCTGAAGTAGCAACTTCAGATCTGGCTTCTAACTCAAATGATTAGCATTATGGCTAAAAAGCCCCAACAACCACACATAGATCTAAGTGCAAAAGAGTCCAAGAACTAGATTATTACCTCCAAATTCTCAGAAATATACTCACAATCCCATATCTATAGTCCTTCCTTGCACCTCCAAGTTCCTTCTTCCTTCTCCAAGCTTTAATGCACCCTTCAAGGCAACAAATGGCTCAAATAATGGATATGGCGGCTAGGGTTTGGTGTTCTGGGTTAGAGAGGCAGTAAAGGAACCCTAGGGGAGAGAATGAGGCGTTTAAATAAGCTCCAAGTCCCGAATTTAGGGTTTTCCTCGCACAGACCAGACTCGCCGAGTCGTTCACTTACTCCTTGACCCGGATCCCGCTCGGACTCGCCAAGTTCCTCCTTTGACTCGCCGAGTCGCCCTTTAAAATTAGGGTTTTCTTTCCTTTCTTGGCCTTCCAGACTTCAGGTGTTACAAAATTAAAACGAAATTTTTAGAATGTGTTTTTGGGATGTTTCAATATTGCTATTTCTTGCATTTAACCCTTTTATTAGTAAGAGTACATTTGGTGTATCATCTTAGTTCTGTGTATTCCTCAAATTAATTTTGGAAATTATGAGTAAAATAATTAATGGGTTTTGTTGTATTTTTGTTGAAATTTTCATTGGATTCTTGAATTGAGGCACTATGCGCCAGGAGCTCCAATCATCCTTCTTGGAACAAATCTTGGTTAGATTCTTTCAACCTTCATTATAAAATAAATGATTGCAATTCCTCTCATTCTCTTTCTAAGACTTGTTATTAAACTATCAATCAAATGACAAAAATATCCTCCAACAATGCATGTGAATTTTATTTTAGTTTTTGTGATGAAGAATGGTTTGCCTAAATGGGATTCTTTTCAATTCAAGCATCCTAAAAATTGAATTTTTGAAATTTTTATAAAAGAGAGAGAGACACTGCAACTCATTAGTTAATGGATCAATGTAGACAAGATAAGACCTCAAATGACCAAAATACCCTCCAACTCTCTATGAGATTCATGAATCTAAATCACACTAAATGTTTTATCTTTTGTAGATCTTCGAGATGATAAAACAATTTTTCAGTGACCATCCTAGTGCAGTTCCAATAACTACAGCTTACCAGATTAAAATCCCTTCTCTATTAAGTCATTAAGTTGAAAAGAATGATAAATAGTTTTCGAGGTATTACACATATAATATACATCTCCCATGAAATTGCAATGTTTGACTATTAATCAAATGTATAAATATCCTTAAAAACAGTTGGGGCAATTTCGTAATTTACCTTAGAGGCTGGGACTTAAAATTTATAATATTCGTGAGGCATACCAAAATTAAAGTTGAAAACTTTTCATGGGACATCTAATTAAAGATGAAAGAAGTTGCATTCTTTATGAGACACCAATGAAACAATTTTCAATGGTGTGGATGCAAGGGCATTTAGGTCTTTTTTTTACACATATATGGTTATTGCAAAACGTGAAGGCGTTTTTTAATATGGCCATTAAAACGGTTCTTCGGCCACCAAAGCAAAAGAAGAAAAAGAAGCGAAGGGGTCGAAAAGTATGTTCCATTCTGCAACTTTGTGCACAAGATTTTTAGTCTGAATCAAATGGAAATGTGAGGAAAGTTTGACTTTTCAATGGTGAATGCTCAAGTGTTGATCACCCTCGCCTTTATATGGTTTTTGATGAATTTGTTCACTTTTATTTTATCTTTGTGCTATGTAAGGGTTTTTTTTTTTAATGGCAAATAATTATATATTTTTCTCCGTTAACACCAAAATAGTTGAGGCTTTGGGGAGTACTATTTGGGTACAAATATGTAATATGGTTTTATGTAGATTGTTGAAAGATCTTGATTTTAAGAGGGTTGAAAATGAAAATCCGTTGGAATTGTAATATGAGATTCCGTTCCATGGGATTAATGCACACAAGCCAAGAGAGACGAACTTTTAAAAATGAAAACGTTTAGATGTTTCGAGTTTGAAAGTAATAAATACTATTATGAATTTTCACATTAAAAAATCATATGAAATATAAATTCCAGGACTAAGCCGACATTGTCTGTAATAATTAGGTGACAATGTCAAGCAGTGGTGGACGCAAACTGTTTTAGTAGGGGTGTCAGTTGTACTTCAAGCGGGTGCACCTACTAGAAAAAAAAAATTACACTGCGTGCCGTAAATTGAGTAGTGGCCTGGGACCCCAAATGCCCCACTAAGGTCTGCCACTGCTGTCAAGGTGATCTAGTGTCGATCACTTGATCTTCTGCAAGCACTCCTACAAGCTACATCAAATTGATGATTACCCCACACTGACTTAACTTTAAACTCCTCTTCTTGTTATTTCTAACACCACAAATGTTTATGGAGATGATATTCATTTAATACCATGTTTTTCTCCCATTCTATCTATAAACTTCTGCATATGAATTTTACATTCATTGATTTCATACCCCAAAGCATTAACAAACACAATATATTTATACACAACCTCAATCAAAGACCCAACATTAACTTTCTGTTTACGGAGTTTGGCTCTAGTATTATCTTTACACACGAAAGAAAGTGATTATAGGCAACAACATCTCTTGAAGTTGATTTTGTACAAACAGGTGAATGAAATCTAACCCCACTGAATCGTGGAGGCTTAGCGATCACTCAGCTATTAGAAACCGAAGCTACTTTGTCAGATTCTGACAGCCTTCCTGTTCTGTTTTCTTGATGGCCATCACTTATCCCCTCCCCTTCTTTATTGACAGCCAGATCAGCATGAGAATGAGCTGCCACAACAGCCACATCGGTAGCATCAGGGGATGCCACATCAGCAGAAGCACGAGCTGCCACATTGCATCCGACATCAGCGAATTTAGAGAGTACTGCTTCACCCTCTTTGCTTTGTGTACTCTGGTTCACTATAAATTTTCTCCACACACCCTCCTTGAAATCTCCTTCTTCATGCTTCATTTATTATTACTTACACATTAGTCAAAAATGTTGGGTATGAACTCTTCCATTTCAATTTATTCATCTACATCTTTGTTACTATCCTGTCATCATCCTCATCATCTAAATCGTTCATTTATTTATTAACTCAATTTGCGAATCATCCTCTTCTTTTTTTTTTTATTGTGGAAATCCAAGAAGATATTTCTTGAACATTAATCAAATACTCTTTTCTTTTAATATTAACCAAGACTTGATCGCATATTAATGAAGTGAAACATGACTTTACACAAAACCGACCATAATTCAAATATTCATTTAAGTCTTCGTCCATGAACCTTACTACACCATATAAAGATGTAGTTTTTGAACAAAGATGAAGTCCATTTTCCTAGTGGTAAAACTCATCAATTTCCAGCCACACTATTCTTTCCTTTTCCACAAAAAATTTCAACACTATGGGGATATCTTTGAACACAGTTTTCATTCTTCCATATTGCTAAAATTTGATACACCAACAGTTTGGACAAACCTGACCTTTGTTACATGAGTTGCCTAACTTCCGTTTTGAATAAAAAATTTCAGTAATTTAAGAAGTGTTGAAAATGAAATTCCATTCAGTGTTTCCTAATTCCTGTGACATCGTGTTTCTGCATATCAAAGAGTAGCATTCATGATTTAGAAAAAAAAAAAAAAAAAAAGAACAATATCTTGCATTGATACCAAGTTTATCAACACAAGAACAAATGTCAACTATATGACTATATGATGGAAAGAAGCATGCAGTCAGGAATAATAAACTCACAGCTAACTGAAACATGTGCTCCAGGGATGCTTAACTCATTTAATCGGAGTAAATCTTTTCCCTCATACAAGACAAATAATGCCAGGTTGCCTTAACTCCACTAAGAAATTTTGACCACATAAGAGAAAAAAGCAAATTAAACAATACCAAATTTTGGGTAAAGAATATCAACAGACACTATACTAGGTAGCAAATACACAAACTAATAATGTACTAAACATTCATGGTGTCAGTTGTGACTCCACCAGTAAATATTATTTAATGGTCATGATTGGGTACACAAGAGGGAATATTCCTTCCATCAACTTTGATCTTCAGTTCATAGTTTCCTGCATCATCTTGCTCGTCTCGTATTTTTTGAAGGGATTCAAGAAGAGAAGCGCCACAATTCAAAACAACAATAAACTCAAGCGTTGAGATGTCCCCTAATTCAAGGGGTATCTCTTCAAGATCAATACAATTCGAAACCTCTAATCGTTCAAGATGTGGAAAATTGGTGCTTGAGACTTCCCATTTTTTGATATTTAACTCTTCAAGTCTCAAGGCTTTTAGTTGTTGAAACTGCCCCTCACCTGTTTCCCACAATGTTCCCTCGAAGCCATTGTCTTTTATTACAAGAAACTCAAGATTAGGTAATGACTGAATGATAGTCATGTTGCTCCACGGTAGACCACACCTTACAAGTGTAAGTACTTTCAGTGTTTCAGGGAACCTAATTATAATGTGATTCTTTCCCAAGTTTTGTTCACCTCTGAGAAGTTCTGGCTCAACTGATCTCCTTCTGCTGTAGCCCGACCCAACTAACATCAATACTTGAAGGTAACAGAGTACTTCAAAGTCATTTTCCTCATCAGAGTAAAGAATAGATGTAAGATCCTTGATCCCAGGAAAACATTTCTGAAAATTATCTACCCCATTTCCCAACACCACATTTGTAATAACTTCTAATTTCATTGGTTTTCCAATAGAAGGAAGATATAGATTTGTATTACTGGCTAAATGTCTTAGATTCACCAAATTTGATATGTTACTCGGTAAAACCATAGAACTAGAACTTGTTCTAACAACGAGGGTTTGAAGGTTCCATAAATTGCATATTGATGGTGGGAATAATGACAGCCAAATTTCTAGGAACCTTAAGTGAACTAGTAATGCTAAACCAGGGGGAAAATCAATCAGTATACATTTTTGTAGACTTAACACCCTAAGAAGTGCAAAGGAACTGCAAAACTTTGAGATATTATCAGTTAAGGTTGTTTTCCTATGATAGCACAAAAACGATCTAATACTAGGGGTGGGCGGATGAGACAAAGTCATAATGTCGATTTCTTGATTTGTGAACACACGGCGTTGCTTATGGGTGGTAACTATCTCACAATGATGATTAGATGGTGGCCAGTCTATTTTCAGGAAGAATCTTTCTTCTTTTCCTTTTTCCACACATAGCTGCCTCACAAGATCATGGACTTTACAAAGTTCAACATCACCCGAAATATACCATTTTTCTACAATTAGAAGATTTCTGTCAACTAGATCCATCAGGTAACCCTTGGCAATTTCCTCCAAGCTTCGACTTCCATCTTCTTGTATAAATCCCTCAGCCATCCATAAACAAATCAACAATGGTGAATAGATCTGGGAGTCTTCTAAAAACCCTCCCAGATAGAGAAAGCAGTCTTTCAAGTGAAGAGGTAGATGGTGGTAACTTAATGCAATTGTTTCCAGACATCCTTTCTCATCACTAGCAATATACGAATGGACACTGCAAGATATTTTTAGCCATATATCTTTCCTCCTTGGTTCTTTTGCTAGAACTCCTGCCATCACAACAACAGAAAGTGGCAATCCGTATCAGTTTTTTGCAATTTGCATTCCAGGAGCAATCAACCATTTGGGACATTCGTTTCCTTGGAACACCTTTTCACACAGCAACTTCCAACTTTCTTCTTCAGTCAAATGTTGTAAATGATGAATGAGTCCATGTGATTTTGCATGCGAAGCAACTTCGGTGAGGCGACTAGTAAGCAGAATTCGACTTCCAATGTTATCATCAGGGAAAAATAATTTCAGCTTATCCCATGCCTCTTTACTCCAGATGTCATCAATGACAATCATATATCTCTTACCCATTAGGCTTTTATGCAACATTGCACGAAGTTGATAGTCCGTTGCTTTTTCAAGCTCTAATTGATCATCTATGGATGTCAGAACTTGAATCAACAGATCCCGCTTGTCAAATATTTGTGAAACAGTGACCCATCCACGGACATAAAAATGATGAACAACAAAAGGATCAGTGAAAACTTTGTTAGCAAGGGTAGTCTTACCTATTCCACCCATACCAACAATAGATATCACATCCAACTTCTTTCCATCTTCAACAAGTTTGTCCCGTATTATCTCAGCATCACGATTGAACCCCACAATGACTTTTTCCAATAATTTCTTTGAACCCCTTGAATTTCTAGTGTGGGAAGTTCCAGCCGATTGCAGTCTGTCAGTTCTCAGAGAAGAGTCCATCTTCATGTTATCGATGTTAATGGTCATGAACTCTATCTTGATAGACTCGATTGATCTCATAACAACCTCAAGGTGGAGAGAGGGCTGAAAGACATCAGATCTAGGGAAATATCCGTTATTTCTACAGTGGACAGTGGTTAGAAATATATCGACGATACCTTCTGCTTCTTCAGCTGCAACTTTGAATCTTCTCTTCAGTTTTCTCACTTTTTCAAAGCTGTGTAGATCTTGGTCTTCGTGGTTGAAAAGGATTTGGATCATGAAGCCAAGCTCTTCATAAAGATGTTGGAATTGAGGCCTTTCACTTAAGATTGATGGATTGTTGATCACTGGAATATCATTGGAGTATATCAGCTGCTTCAACTTTCCCATTAACATCTGGATATCTGCGTATGCCATCTTGTTTATTCCGATCTTTGAAGAACAGTAGATGGTTGGTTGGTTTTATCTTTCTTTGTACATTAGTTGGGTTCACGGTTGCAAAATGGGGTTATGGTCCCACCAATTCACCAAATCTGAAATAGTCCAAAGTGTCATTTTTATAACTTAAATTATTGTTTTTCGAATAAAATGCAGAAATAGGCCATATGCGACTGTTATGTTGTCGTTTTATTCCAGTCCAAAATGAATTTCTTTCAAAATATCATTGGTTTACCTTTTTGTTTGGATATATACTAGTGTTTTGTTTTTTGCTTTTATCAAATTTAACGGGCCCACCCACAGTCAACACCACACCCACCTAATTCTCATCCCCTCCCCATCTTGGCCTTCTTCTTCGTCAGTGAAAATAACCCACTCCCTTCTCTTTCTCTGTGCCCTGTGGTTGCCTTTTTGAATACAGAACAAATGTGGGAATTATGGAGATGAATATTAACCCAAAACTGGAATCATCGAAATACAGTCAAAGGGTTCACATATACCATGACCATCCTCAATTGGTTTTGAACACAGTTGATCATAGACCACATCACTGGCACACAAGTCGCCCACCAGTTGTTCCTCATTATGAAATCAATCAAAACCAAGAACGGACCTGGGAAAAATCGGATCACAAAACCTTCTTTGATGTTTACCAAAGGAAGAGGAAGGGAGGATTCTCAACCTGCAAATCAACAAACTCATCAATCTCCAAAACATAAATCAAACCCAAAACAAAACAATAAACTTGATTTACATGTAAAATCGAACTCGTTTGCATATAGGAACAACTGGACAAGTGATTTGGAACTGCATGTTTAGTCTATCTTCAAAAATTAACTCGGCCGTTCCTAATTTGTTTAAAACTTACATGCTTCGACATTGATATGTGGTTTTGTTGCAAATTTAGTTCATGCCGGATTTGAAATGACCATAATGACATTGTTTATTTATTGATATGTGGTTTTGTTGCAAATTTAGTTCATGCCGGATTTGAAATGACCATAATGACATTGTTTATTTATTTTCCATATAGTGTTGACTTATTTATTGTTATTAATTATATTTAGAAAAAAATAGTCCATCCCCTTATCCATTGTTGGAGAACCGCCGGCCATCATCACCGAAGCACCACTAACCAACATTTTCATTGTTCAAAACCATAGTCTCTCTCCTCTTCCTTCTCCGATCGGATACCTTTTCTTCTCCGATCAACTAATACTCCCTTGTTTTAAATCTATGATCTCCTCCACCTTACCATAAACCAACATCCTCCACAGGGGCGGAACACGAGCATTAGAATAGGAGGGGCCGGAGTATATCTCCTCTGATAAATGAAAGTTTTTTTTGTTACTTGTCAATCTTTTATAAGTTTTGACACTTGTCATTTTATGGTATTATTAAAGTAAATATTATCCACTTGTCAATTTTTGTTTTGTTTCAATTTTTAAAACTAAAGTCATATATTTATATATGTAAAGTATTAAATATAATATATATATATAAAATTAAATTTCAATGAATATGTTTCTTTCTTTCTTATTTTAAAGTTTTATATAAAAAAATATTTACTACTTATATTTTAATGTTTATTTTTTTTAAATTAATCCGTATAATATACGGGTCTCACACCTAGTTAGCAATACATAATGCATATTGAAAAAAAAAAAATTTGTATGACAAATTATAATTTAAATAAAATTTATTAATGATAAGATAATTAAAATGTAGTTTTTTTTATGAATATGAGAAAAAAAAATATATTTTATAATTGTTTTTTGAAAGTCTTAAATTATAATTTTTTATTCTAGCAAAACATATTAATTTGCTTATGTTTTTGTTTATCTCCAAAGAATTTCATAATCGAAAAGATGAGTACATCAAAATTAAAAAGCATGAATTATTTATTAAATCACATATCAAGACGATTACAACCTCAACATACACAAACTTAATAACTCTCATAGTTATTTATTTCCAAACAAATTCATAATCTAGAAGACAATCCAATAAAAACAATTTCATAATAAGTAAATCAGTAAATATATTAATTGAGTATGAATATGTTTGGGAAGGTACTAGGCAAACAATCATGGCTTTCTTATGTTTCCAACGTTTTTTTTGCCTTTATGACAGCACACAGAAAGAGAAAAATAATAGCTTTAAAATAGAAGCAAGAAATATCAATTTCATATAAAAAAAATATACCGTAAAAGATAGAAATATCAATTTCATATAAAAAAATATACCATAAAAGATAGAAAAATATCGACAATTTTTGAAATATGTTCGGATCGATTTCCGGCAGTTGTTTAGATCGATTTCGGCCTCCATCATCACATGTATGATGTCATGGGAGATGGAGAGAACGTGTGTTAGCCGCTGCCAAAACTATAGCCCAACAATGGTATGTTTCTAGTTGCCTTTGTTGTGCTTGAGTCAGTGTAACATCCGGAATTTCAGGTATTATATTTATTCATTTGAATTTCAAGTTTTGTGGAAAGACTCGGCGAGTTGATGCGTAGATTCGCTGAGTAGAGACGCGAATCATTACCCGGGTGGACGGCTGGACTCAGCGAGTCGCCCCAAGGACTCGACGAGTCCACGCTGTTTAATGAAACCCTAATTCCTCGGGTTTGGGGCCTATTTAAAGGGCCTTATGGCCGTCATTTGTGGCTACCAGACCCTAGAGAGAAACCCTAAGTAAGCTAGAGCGTTTGTGAGAGGAAAGAAGCCATTTCTTGATCTGTGTTGGTGTTTTTGCAAATAGAAGAGGACCAAGACAAGAGGAGGCTGATGAGGGTGCTAATCCAGTGATTCTAGGGCTCAGAGACTTCATTTTGAGGTATTTATTCAACCCCTTCTTTAGTTTATGGTGTAATTCTTAGAGTTAGGGATTTTTAGCCCCATTAGAGAATGGTTATATGGAGTAATTGGTCCCTTCTCATGTTGATGTTGTAGATCTGGACCCAAAGAGGTCCAGAGACCCTTTCCCCTTGAGCTTTATGGGTATTAATGGAGGTTATGAACTTAGGGTGTCATTTTAGAGGCCATATCTTCAAATAAGGCCTTTGAGCCTTTGCATGTGCACCAAGATGTTAGATTTACGTGATTATAATGCTTTGGGAAGCTGGATCTATGGTTTAGAGGAGCGGATCTGACCTCAATAGGTCAGTTCAGCTTGAGCATGGCATGAACTCGCCGAGTCCTTTAGCCGACTCGGCGAATAGGACGAGGGTTTTCCCGATAATCACACAGTTGGTGACTCACTGAGTTGGGGAAGTGACTCGGTGAGTCAGAGGGAATCTAAAGGATAGAGTGCATGATGGTACTCGCCGAGTCAGGAGCCGGACTCGGCGAGTTGGGTCAGGACATCTCACAGATTGTGATCAGTGATGATTTGCAGAGTTGGGGTTGACTCAGTGAGTCGAATGAGGACTAGGAGAGTGAAGAGCATGTGTGGACTCGCCGAATCATAGTTGCGCACTCGGCGAGTTTGGTCAAGGTTGAACGTTGACTTCGTTGACTATTAGGATTAGTCAATGTTTGGACCTTAGAGTCATCGGAAGGGTAGGATAGTCTTTTACGCTTCCGAGTGGATGTATTGAGAGGAAGAGATTAGCCTAGCCCTGAGGGTTGTATTAATTAGAGTATTTATTTCATGTGATTAGGCAGAGGCTAGAACAAAGTTACCGAGTCAGAGATTTACTGAGATATCCGAGGTGAGTCTTCTCACTATACTTTACTTGAGTAGGTAAATAGAGTTATGTGATACAGTGTTTATATGCTACATATATATATATAGTGTGTTGCACTGCATTCTTCTATGTGATTTATGTTGTGCATGCTTGCAGAGTTAGAACCTGAGGGTTCACAGAGTTTGGGTGCACGGACCCACAGAGTTATAGCCTCGAGTGGCTAATATCTGTTATATGTGGTATTTTGGGGAACTCACTAAGCTTTGTGCTTACAGTGTTTTGTGTTATGTGTTTCAGGTACTAGTGAGGATCGCGGAAAGGCACCGACTTGATCAGTACACACACGGGATTTTTATGATTATGAGATCTTGGGATTGATATATGTTATGAATTGAGTTTTCAAACAATGATATTTTTATGAATAATAAATGAATTATGTTTTTATAAAATGCGAAAAATTATTTTGGAAATTTACGTTGTTACAAGTTGGTATCAGATCCTTGGTTTGAGGGATTCGGGTACACCTTCGGGCGTATTTGAACTCAAACTGAGGATTTGAAAAATATTTTCAAAAGAGAACCAAGTTTTCTAAAAAGTGTAAAAGATTTTTTGAAAACACAGAGCAGAGTCGTGTGTACGATCAGTCAGCGCCCGAACGGTGATTTCCCAAAATACCCTTATGTTATATGTTTATGAGATTGATATGATGTATTCTCGTGCTAGAGTGGGTTAGGTATTCCTATTAGGACTAGGGTGGCCTGATTTGTGATTCCTTAGCCTAGGGGGAGGTGAGCTGCTATGAGATGCTTGAGAGTGAGTAGGTAGCAGTGAGAAGCTTATGAGAGATCTGTTAAAGAGTGGATTATGCATAATAGAGTACTTGGGACTTGGGTGTAACATCCTGTTTCAGATTGTTCGTGATTTGTGTTGGTGGGCCACGAGTCGGGCGCGAGAAGGTTTCGGATTGAGGCGAGTTGCTTGAAATGTAAGGGATCTCATTACCTTTCGATATGTATGAGGATGGTGGAAGCAAAGTTCTATCTTTGAAGCTATGAAAGTTTGGAGGTTTGACAAGTTAAGACCTTAAAGACAAGAAGTTGGCAACCAAGTACGATGGGCGTACATATGCGTATGCTTAGCGTACAGACGCGCGTTTTTCTTAAGCTGAGCTAACTAGTACGTTGGGCGTACCAGGGGGTACGTTGGGCGTACTAGGCATAGAAGAAAACCATAATTAAGTGAAGTTCCCCTATATAAAGAAAGATATGGTCTCATTTTTTGGCC